AATGGTTTTGCCAAGATTCAGAAAGATGTAGTGGTCAGACAGGCAGCAGACCACCAAACAGTGACAGTGACATGTTTTGGTACAAGTTTGGCTTTGGGAAGTGCTTTGGAGCTTCTTCTTGGTCCAGTCACTGCACGGGTCATCGCTGGTTGTCGTTTAAAATCCACTTTTTATTGCATGTCACAATCCAGTTGAGAAATGGTTCATTGTTGTTGTGTAGAATAAGAAAAGATGACACTTCAGAACTGGTCTTTTTTATTTGCAGTCACCTCATAGACACCCACTTACTGAACCTTTTCACCTTACCAATTTGCTTCAAATGCAGAATCATTGACATTGAGTAGCTTTAAGAGGATCAGCTTTGATGATGGCTTGCAGTTCATTCAGTTCAGTTGAGTTGCTCATTCCTGTCCAACTCTTTGCACCCCATGAACCACAGCATGCCAGGCCTCCCTGTCCATCACCAACTCCTGGAGTCCACCCAAACCCATGTCCATTGTGTCGGTGACGCCATCCCACCATCTCATCCTGTCATCCCCTTCTCCCACCTTCAATCTTTCCCAGCATCAGGGTCTTTTCAAATGAGTCAGCTCTTCCCATCAAGTGGCCAAAGTATTGGAGTTTCAGCTTTAACATCAGTCCTTCCAATGAACACCCAGGACTGATCTCCTTTAGGATGGACTGGTTGGATCTCCTTGTAGTCCAAGGGATCTTCAAGAGTCTTCTCCAACACCACAGTTCAAAAGCATCAATTCTTCTGCACTCAGCTTTTTTTATACTCCAGCTCTCACATCCATACATGACTACTGGAAAAACTATAGCCTTGACTAGACGGATCTTTGTTGGCAAAGTAATGTCTCTGCTTTTTAATATGATGTCTAGGCTTGCAGTTGGTCATTGTCAACTTCCAGTGGCCAGTCACTGTGCTCCTCATCTTGAAGGCTCTCGTCTCCTTTGCAAAACTTCTTGAACCACCACTGCACTATATGTTAGCAGTTCTTGGGCTGACGCATTGTTGATGTTGCAAGTTGTCTTTGCTGCTTTATGACCCATTTTGAACTTGGATTAAAAAATCACTTGAATTTGCTTTTTGTCTAGCATCATTTCTGTTGTCTAAAATAAATATAAAATAAACAGCAAGTAATAAATCATTGGCAAAAAAAATAAAGAGAAATGTACATTAAAATGATGTATAACATAACCACATTTGTTTAAGAATGTATTCCAATATCAAATGGCAAAGTTCATCAGTGCAAAACTGCGATTACATTTGCACCAACCTAATAAATACATAGTGGATAGGGTTAGGCTTATGAACAGTTGTTTTCTCTTTTGTTGATCTATTTGTGATAAATTACAGTCAGCCATATTTTGTGTGGAAGGACAGATACATATTTGTTTTTGTAGTTTTATTAAAATGTTTAATAACAAGTCACTGTAATGTTTGGACAGTAAGTGGTTTCTCAGATTAATACAAATATACACACTCATGCAAAACAAACTAAACACTGAAATTTATCATTTCCATGAACAGTGATTTAAACTGTTGTCCATTGATTTTGAGTATTTATCTTCCTGCTTCACTTTCAACTTCAGTAACAGCTGGGTTTAGAACTTTTTCTTGCTTTGCTTATTTTGAGACCTGCTAGCCTGAACCATAGTTATGAAATTGTTGTTTTAGTTTTTAGTGCTTAATTTCTGTCGCATTTGCATTTTACATGGTTCTTGGCAAGATTACATCAGGTCTGCTAGGCTTATTAGCTGAAATGCAGTGACCACTTAGAAAAGATAACATGGAAGAATGCCCCAGTATGGCTGTGTGTGAAGTGAGATACTGCCTAGATTAGGGTCTGGGGAAGCCTGATGTTATACCCTGTACTTGGCACGATTTGTGCATTATCTTCCCTCTACCCCCATTCTAACACATGTTTATTGAGTACTTACTCTGTGTCTGATATGGTACCTGGAACCGTGGATATAGAAATGACTTTCTATACTTCAAGGAATTTGTAGCCTAAAAAGGATGTGCTGTATGTGCATGTGTGTGTGTGCTCCAAGTCACTTCAGTTGTATATGACTCTGCGACCCTAGGAACTGTAGCCTGCCAAACTCCTCTGTCCATGGGATTCTTCAGGCAGCAGTACTGGAGTGGGTTGCCATGCCCTCCTCCAGGGGATCTTCCCGAACCAGGGATCGAACCTGAGTCTCTTATGTCTCCTGCATTGGTAGGTAGTTCTTTACCACTGGCGCCACTTGGGAAGCCCCATAAATAGTACAGAGAGATCTTATAGAGAGAGAGATGAATTCTTGAGTATTGTAAAAGGATCAGAGAAAGATTCCTTTAGATAACATCTGAGCTAACATTTGGAGGTAGAATATGAGTTTGTCAGTGGTAAGGTAGCTGTTACAGGCAAGGAGATCAGCATGTAGGACAGGCACAGAGGCATGAAAGAACATGGTGTATTTAAGGAGGTATATGCAGAAATTCATGTGGGGCACAACAATTGATAGATGAAAGCTGCACTTCCTGTCATTGTCAAATTCCAGTTTCAGTTCAGTCGCTCAGTCGTATCTGACTCTTTGAGACCCCATGAACCGCAGCATGCCAGGCCTCCCTGTCCATCCCCAACTCCCAGAGTTTATCCAAATCCATGTCCGTTGAGTCGGTGGTGCCATCTCATCCTCTGTCGTCCCCTTCTCCTCCCACCCTCAGTCTTTCCCAGCATCAGGGTCTTTTCAAATGAGTCAGCTCTTCACATCAGGTGGCCAAAAGTGTTGCAGTTTCAGCTTCAACATCAGTCCTTCCATTGAACACCCAAGACTGATCTGCTTTAGGATGGACTGGTTGGATCTCCTTGCAGTCCAAGGGACTCTAAAGAATCTTCTCCAACACCACAGTTCAAAAGCATCAATTCTGCATTCAGCTTTCTTTATGGTCCAACTCTCAAAGCCATCCATGACCACTGGAAAAATCATAGCCTTGACTAGACGGACCTTTGTTGGCAAAGTAATGTCTCTGCTTTTTAATATGCTGTCTAGGTTGGTCATAACTTTCTTTCCAAGGAGTAAGCGTCTTTTAATTTCATGGCTACAGTCACCATCTGCAGTGATTTTGGAGCCCCCAAAAATAGTCAGCCACTGTTTCCACTTCTATTTGCCATGAAATGATAGGACCAGATGCCATTATGATCTTAGTTTTCTGAATGTTGAGTTTTAAGCCAACTTTTTCACTCTCCTCTTTCACTTTCATCAAGAGGCTCTTTAGTTCTTCTTTGCTTTCTGCCACAAGGGTGGTGTCATCTACATATCTGAGGTTATTGATATTTCTCCTGGCAATCTTGATTCCAGCTTGTGCTTCCTCCAGCCCAGCGTTTCTCATAATGTACTCTGCATGTAAGTTAAATAAGCAGGGTGACAATATACAGCCTTGACGTACTCCTTTTCCTATTTGGAACCAGTCTGTTGTTCCATATCCAGTTCTAACTGTTGCTTCCTGACTTGCATACAGGTTTCTCAAGAGGCTGGTCAGGTGGTCTGGTATTCCCATCTCTTTCAGAATTTTCCACAGTTTATTGTGATCCACACAGTCAAAGGCTTTGGCATAGTCCATAAAGCAGAAATAGATGTTTTTCTGGAACTCTCTTGCTTTTTCGATGATCCAGCAGATGTTGGCAATTTGATCTCTGGTTCCTCTGCCTTTTCTAAAAGCACCTTGAACATCTGGAAGTTCACAGTTCATGTATTGCTGAAGCCTGACTTGGAGAATTTTGAGCATTACTAGCTTATGAGATGAGTGTAGTTGTGCGGTAGTTTGAGCATTCTTTGGCATTGCCTTTCTTTGGGATTGGAATGTCATTCCATTGTCATTGTCAAACATTGCCTGAGAAAGCAACCTGGGAAGACTAATTAAATAATAGAGGCCAAGGTTAAACTTGGTTCTGATCCTGGCTCTCAGATTCTTGTTTGAACAGACTTATTTTTCTGAACTTGAATCTCCTCATTTGTATATGTGCAAACTGTATAATCTTTGTTTTCAAGATACTTTTCGAGGAAGTCACAGTTTGAGGGCCTGGAATACAATAGGTCATCAACATGTATTTTTGAAAGAGTGGTCTGAGAACTTGTATCAAAAAGTAAGAGAGAGTGAATAGTTAAAATTAGAATAAACAATAAAAGATACATATATATATAGACCATTGCTTCCCAGGGTACACTTATTGTATAAAATGTGATCAAGAAAGTTGTTTTATAAAATGTTTCCCTTACTTGTTTAGTTTTCCTGAGGTCCCAGGTTGCAGAAACTACACTTAAGATTCTGGGGACTTCGCTGGTGGTCCGGTGGTTGAGAACCCTCCTTCCAGTGCATGGGGCGTGGGTTGGATCCCTTGTCAGGAGCTAAGATCGCACATGCCATGGGGCAACTATGCCTGTGCACCACAGCTAGAGAGCGCTTGTGCTGCAGTGGAGCCTGTGCAGTGCAATGAAAAGATCCTGACGCAGCCAAATAAAGAAATAAAGATTTTTTAAAATTCTGTAGGTATTGCAAGTTATTACTGCAGGGAAAAGCAAGGAAGCTGGGAAGGAAAAGACCGTAAAATAGCAAATTAAAAAATAAAATTAAGGGAAAAAATGAAAAGAAACATTGTTACCTTGAATGTCATATGCTGTTGTAATGATCACATATGTTCAAATAAGATTCAGTATATTTACATTTTAAATGTGTTTAGATGGTCATTTTCCTTTTTTTATTTGGCTGTGACATATTTCTTGGGCTTGGCTTCTTGAGATTGTGATTTTTTTAATCTTTAATAATTAGTTATAAATGGACTCTTTTCTTACATAAACTTTTACTTTTGCTAGTTGAAAGTTAGTGTTTCCTCTCACTCTACTCTCCCATTGTTTTATCTGCAGGATGTTTTCTTTTGAAGCACAAGATTGTCCATTTTTAATGTTACAGAATTGCTGTAATATACTGTTAATATTTATTTCTTTACCTTTAGGGGTCCTATTGGGCAATAGACACCAATCCGAAGGAAGATGCACTGCCTACTCGGCCAAAGAAGAGAGCACGATCTGTAGAACGGGTAAAAAGCTCTTTATCACTAGTTTAGCATGATGGGTTATTATTTTGGAAATCTAGATCTTAAAAATTCATTTCTGTATAATACTGTAATTTCCAGTATTATAGTAAGTATAATTGTAATTAAGGTAATATTTTACTTGGGTGACATTTTCTGTTTTTTCAAAACACTTTGAGACTTATTTGATCCTGACAGCTCTTGAGTGAGGTGGGCAGTTTAGCGATCAGGTAAAAAGGTTTTTGTTTGTTTATTTGTTTTGTAGTTAGGGCACAGTTATCTAACTGAAGGTTAAATCCAGGTCTCTTAATTTGCTACTCTTCCCTCTCTGCATCAATGAGGACTGGTTTTATGTAACAAAACCGTTCCCTTTCACTGCAGATAATCAGTCTGATTATATTGAATTTTCCTGATTATCTTCAAAATGTCTTTTCCTGATTCCAATTATGTAATAATTATTTTGTATACAAATCTGTAAGAACCTCAGGCTGGGCTTAAATTGGGATTGGATGAGCCATGAGGTACTGCAGCAATGGGAGTTAGTCAGGCAAATTCATGGTGGCAGTGGAGGGAATTCAAGTACTGCAGTTACGAAGCTTTGCAAAATTAAAAGTGAACTCTCAGGTCAGAACCCTTTTTGGTTTTATACAAACCAAAATTTGAACAGGTTTATATTGATGGTATAGTATTCTGGTAATGGAGTTTTAAGGCTGAGACGGTGATGAGCTCTGTACGTAATGGTTTGAGAGGGGATGACTTTCAGTTATTGCTGTCCAGCTCTTGTTTTTTAAAACATGCGACTTTTTTTTTTCAGTATCTTTCTTAAAATTTGTATTCTATTTTTTAAAGTTTATTTTTAGTTAGAGGATAATACAGACTTTTATTGTGTGACAATGTGGAGAACACACTGTTTAGCATCTACTGCCAGAATTTGAAGGAAGGGGAGAAGAGTCCACATCATTTAACCCAGAGCTTAGAACAGATGATTTTATCTTGAGGCTGAAGAATTGTGGTCTCTACCGTTTGCTCTCTCCTTCTGAATTTCGTGGAACTTGAGTATTTTTGGAAATTTGAATTGGTAGCTGGATTGACAACTGGGCAATCTGTTTGGATATGAAGCCTGGCTTTTATTCTGTTACCTTGTTTCATAATTCTTAGAGCAATACTTCTTTATATCTGAGAGCACTCTTTTTTTTCTGAAGACCATATTGTCAGTTTTATAATGGAAGTGTATGGAAATATAGTATTTTGATTACAGAATTATGTTTTATATACTAAGTACATGTTCTTGAATATGTATTTGAACATGTATTTTCTATATTTATTTTCTGCTGTTTATATTTTTATCTTTTAAATTGAAAACATTTAAAAGTTCCAACAGTTTGCCTTTGTAGTATAGTTCCATAAACTATCCAGTATCAGAGCCTTTCAGTTAATATAGTGTGCTGATATTTACTTTTGCCTGAGCTGTGTGTTGGTTGCTACTGTAGGAGAGGAGCCTAAAGAAAGAGAACAGCTGTAAGTAGAGTGTGTCTAATCCGGGAGACAGATGTTTAATACAGAGTACAGGCGCTCACAAATACTCTGAAAGGTAATATTCTTACAAAACATAATTTTGTGTCCTGATAAACTGATGTGTCTCTACTTTTTTATTTAGAGGGTTTGAGGGGGGCAGGTAGTATTTTTATTAGGACACAATTTGTATTTAAATATACTTGTATTTTTTGGGCTTCTGTGGTGGCTCAGAGGGTAAAGTGTCTGCCCGCAGTGCGGGAGAGCCGGGTTCGATCCCTAGGTCGGGAAGATCCCCTGGAGAAGGACATGGCAACCCCACTCCAGTATTCCTGCCCGGAGAATCCCATGGATGGAGGAGCCTGGTGGGCTATATATATAGTCCATGGGGTCGCAGAGAGTCGGACACAACTGAGCAACTTCACTATACTTGTATTTAAGTAGTTACTGGGTTTTATCTAAGGGAGTACCTAAGATGGTCAAATAGTGAGTACGATTGTTAAACATTTAGAACTTTTTGTCAAAAACTAAACATGACCCACAGGTTGAAACTTGAGTTTTAAAATGTAGATAGTAAAGATGTTGACATCCCTGAAAGCTTATTAAACTTATGAAATGTTATTTCTTTGTCCATGTGTAAACATCAGAGTTCTGCGTGAAATATTAATGTATGTCACACATTTTCGAAGAAAGAAGAGCTTTTAATGTAAGAGAAGCAATTTTTAAAAATGCACGTAACAGTATCTTCATGTCTTAAAGGAAAAGTAAAGCCTGATTGTTATCTCCAGCCTAGTATTCTTAACACAGTTTGGACTGTCTTCCTGTTCCCTCCATTTACTTGAATAAACCTCTGTTCTCTTTTGTTCATTGTGGTATTACTGTCTTCTTTACTTAATCCTTGAATGTGTATCAATAAATTCCTTTCATTTTCCTTTTTCTGTTTTCTTTCATCTTACCATGTTATCTTTATTTATCATAAAGCAGACGTGATTACCTAAAAAGGATTGCTAATAAAGTTCAGCATGGTGAAGATGAATGGGCTCCATGACTAGGATTCCTGTGTTTTTCTTCTGGCCTTACTATTTACATCTTTTGTGACTTTTGGCAAGTTGTTAGAATCTTTGAGCTTCAGAATCCTCAACTGTAAAGAAAAAGGATAGAAGTCTTTTAACAGCTCCATGAACTAAGTGTGTTCCCCTAAATTCATATGTTGAAACCCTAATCCTAGTGTGATGGTATTTGGAGGTGAGGCCTTTGGTAGGTAATTGGATCAGGACTGTGAAGCCCTCATAAATGGGATCAACGCCATAGTAAGAATAGGCCAGAGAGCTGGCTAGCTCTTTCCTGCCATGTGAGAATACCAGTGAGGATACCTGCAAAAGAGCTCTCACAAGAACCTGACCATGCTGGCACCATGATCTTGGACTTCCAGCCTCCAGAACTGTGAGAAATAAATTTCTGTTTTGATAAACCACCAGTTTATGGTATTTTGTTATAGCAATATGAACTAATATAATAGCATAATAAAAATATAATTGAGTTTATGTGGTAGATGTTTTTTAAGAATTTTATGTATATTATTAATTTTTATAGTAAATCCAATTGATGAAAGTGATAGACACAGATATTAAGTTGTCCAAGGGTACAAAGGACAGTAGTAAGTACCAAGGCCAGGATTATGAACTCAGTCTGCCTTAAGAGTCTGCTGTTCACAATTGCACTGTACTGCTGCTAGTATTTGCTGTGCCGGAGATCAGAGCACTCAATCAGATTTCTTTTCATCTATACATATCTTATTATGAGATAATGGGCTTTATTTATTTTTGGACCTGAGTACTAATTTTTTTCTTCAATGCTATTTAAAAGTATTTTTAATTTAGGTAAGTTTATATACAACATTTTATTAGCTTCAGGTATATAACATAGTGATTCAGTATTTTTATAGATTATACTCCATTTAAAGTTATAAAATAATGGCTGTATTGCCCTGTGCTATACAATATATCCTTGTTGCTTATTTATTTTATACATGGTAGTTTCTGTCTCTTAATCCCATATCCTTACCTTGCCCTTACCTTCTTCATTCATCTCACTGGTAACCACTAGTTTGTTCTCTATATATCTAAGAGTCTGTTTCTCTTTTGTAATTTATTTTTGTTTGTTTTTGAGATTCAGCATATAAGTGATGACATAGAATGTTTGTCTTTGACTTACTTCACTAAGCATAATGCCCTCTGAGTTCGTCCATATTGCTGCAAATGGCAGAATTTCATTCTTTTTTATGACTAATATTCCTTCATATACACATTCACACACACATATTTATATATACATATATCTCATTTCTTTATTCAGTCATCTGTTGAAGGGCACTTAATAAGTTGCTTCCATATCTTGACTATTGTAAATAATGATGCTATGAACATTGGGGTGCATGTATCTTTTCAAATTAGTGTTTTCATTTTCTTCAGGTATATACCCAGGAGTGGAATTGCTGGATCATGTGGTAGTTCTTTTTTATTTTTTGAGGAACTTTCATATTATTTTCTATAGTGCTGTACCAATTTACAGTCTCACCAGCAATATACTAGGGTTCCTTTTTCTCCACATCCTTGCCAGCATTTATTTGTAGACTTTTTGATGATAGCCATATTTATAGGTATGCAGTGATACTGTGATTTTGATTTGTGTTACTCTGATGATTGATTACTCATTGAGCATTGTTTCATGTGCCTGTTGTTCATCTGTTTATCTTTTCTGGAGAAGTGTCAGTTCACATCTTTTGCACATTCTTTTAATTAGGTTGTTTGTTTTTTTGATGTTGAGTTGTTTGAGCTTGTTTATATATTTTGGGTATTAACTCCTTATTGGTCACATCATTTGCAGATATTTTCTCACATTTAGTAGGTCGTCTTTTTGTTTTGTTGATAGGTCCTATTTGTTTACTTTTTCTTTTGCCTTAGGAAACAGACCCAAAATAATAATGCTATGATTTATGTCAGTGAATGTTCTACATATGGCCTTTTCTAGGAGATTTATGTTTTTTGGTCATACATTTAGTCTTTAATCCATTTAGGGTTTTATTTTGTAGTAGAGTTTAATTTTGTATATGATGTAAGGAAATGTTCTAATTTCTTTTTCCATGTAGCTGTCCAGTTTTCCCAGTTTTTCATGTATTGAGGAGACTCTTCTCTCTATTGTACAATATTTTCTTGCCTCCTTTGTCATAGATTAATTGGCCATAGGTGTATAGGTATATTTCTGGGCTCTGTTCTGTTCCATCGATCTGTTTATCTGTTTTTGTGCCAGTGCCACACTGTTCTGATGCCTGTAGCTTTGTAGTGTAGTTTGGAGCCAGGGCGTGTGATTTCCCAGCGTTGTTTTGTTTATTTTGCCCCCTCAGGATTGCTTTGGCAAGTTAAAATCTTTCGTGGTTCTGTATAAATTTTAGGATTAGTTCTACTTCTTTGAAAAATGTCATGGGTATTTTGATA